ACACAATCCTGGATCAGGACTAACACACACACAATCCTGGATCAGGACTAACACACACACAATCCTGGATCAGGACTCACACACACACAAACCTGGATCAGGACTAACACACACACAAACCTGGATCAGGACTCACACACACACAAACCTGGATCAGGACTAACACACACACCTGGATCAGAACTAACACACACACAAACCTGGATCAGGACTAACACACACACCTGGATCATGACTAACACACACACCTGGATCAGGACTAACAGACACACACACCTGGATCATGACTAACACACACCTGGATCAGGTTGTAGACTCACCTGTCCCTCTTGTCCTTGTCCAGCCGGTCTCGGATCGTCAGCAGCTCCTTGTTGGCGGCGAGCTGGGCCCCCTCGGACTCGTGCAGGTCTTTACGGATGTTCTTGATCTCGGACGAGTGGGCGGAGTCTCTCCTCAGAAGCTCCTCCTCGTAGAACAAGACCTTCTTATCGAGCTCCGCCTTCAGACGGGACAGCTCCTGCTGAGACTCCGCCCCCCCTGCTGCAGCTCCCCGACCCTGCTGAGACTGAAACCAGGACTATGAGTCACTTTTAAAAACTAACATCCAAAAAGTGTGTGAGTGCCAGAGGTCTGTGTGTCTTCTGACCTTTAGGCTCTCTAGCTCCGCCTCCAGTTGTTTGGAGTAGCCCTCGCTGTGCTCCCTCAGCTTCCTCTCCTTCGACGCCTCGGCCTTGGCGTCGTCCAGCTGAGCCTCCAGCTGATAAACACACACAGGTAAACACTGAGGACTGATCTGTTCAGTAAACATTTAGTGGTCTTTGTCTCCCTCTGCTGGTGAAGAGGGGGAACTACATCAGACCAGCTACAGAGTACAAAGCTCCTCCTCCTCCTCGCCACCCGTCTCTCTCACCTCCTTGCGGTTCTTCTCGGTCTTGCGGATCTCCTGCCTCATGGCTTCCATCTTCTGCAGCAGAGCGTCCATCTCGTCCTCCTTGTCCCTCAGCTGACGGGACAGACGCTGTTTGGCCGAGCGCAGGTCGGCCATCCTCTCCGACAGCTCCGAGAACTCCTGCAGGGCGAGCTTCCTCTGAGAGTGCGCCTCCTTCAGCTCCTTGGTCTGACTGCGGAGACGCTCCAGAGAGTCCGCCAGCTGCTGCTCTCCCAGGAGACAGGTGAGGTTAGACCTGGTCCAAACACACCTGAGGACAAGTGTGTGTGTGTGTGTGTGTGTGTACCTTGTGCACTTCGTCCTTCTCCTGTCTCAGGGTCTTCACCTGCTTCTCCAGAGTTTTCAGTTTGGAGGAGGAGCTCTCGTAGTCCTGTCTGAGAGAGACCGCCTCCTCCAGCTGGTGCTCCAGCCTATCAGAGTCTAGAACAGCAGAAGGGGCAGGGCTTACTCACTGAACAATATCTTAAATACTTCCTCACTACTGCTGGTACATGTAGTCCTGTAGTCCTCTGACCTGCCAGCTTCTTCTTCAGACGCTCGATCTCCTCGTTCAGTTTCTTGATCTCTTTGTCTCGACTCAGAGTTCCTCCTCGAGACGACGGAGCCTGAAGAGCCTGAGTGGACTCTACACACAGAGACTACGTCAGCATGGAGAACTACACCCTCGCAGTATGACTACACCCTCACAGTATGACTACACCCTCAACTACACCCTCACAGTATGACTACACCCTCACAGTATAACTACACCCTCGCAGTATGACTACACCCTCACAGTATGACTACACCCTCACAGTATGACTACACCCTCAACTACACCCTCACAGTATGACTACACCCTCAACTACACCCTCACAGTATAACTACACCCTCGCAGTATGACTACACCCTCAACTACACCCTCACAGTATGACTACACCCTCACAGTATAACTACACCCTCACAGTATAACTACACCCTCAACTACACCCTCGCAGTATGACTACACCCTCACAGTATGACTACACCCTCAACTACACCCTCACAGTATGACTACACCCTCACAGTATAACTACACCCTCACAGTATAACTACACCCTCAACTACACCCTCACAGTATAACTACACCCTCACAGTATGACTACACCCTCACAGTATAACTACACCCTCAACTACACCCTCACAGTATAACTACACCCTCACAGTATAACTACACCCTCACAGTATGACTACACCCTCACAGTATAACTACACCCTCAACTACACCCTCACAGTATAACTACACCCTCACAGTATAACTACACCCTCACAGTATAACTACACCCTCAACTACACCCTCACAGTATAACTACGCCCTCACAGTATAACTACGCCCTCAACTACACCCTCACAGTATAACTACACCCTCACAGTATGACTACACCCTCACAGTATGACTACACCCTCACAGTATAACTACACCCTCACAGTATGACTACACCCTCACAGTATAACTACACCCTCACAGTATGACTACACCCTCACAGTATAACTACACCCTCACAGTATGACTACACCCTCACAGTATAACTACACCCTCAACTACACCCTCACAGTATAACTACGCCCTCACAGTATAACTACGCCCTCAACTACACCCTCACAGTATAACTACACCCTCACAGTATGACTACACCCTCACAGTATAACTACACCCTCAACTACACCCTCACAGTATGACTACACCCTCACAGTATAACTACACCCTCAACTACACCCTCACAGTATAACTACACCCTCAACTACACCCTCACAGTATGACTACACCCTCACAGTATAACTACACCCTCACAGTATAACTACACCCTCAACTACACCCTCACAGTATAACTACGCCCTCACAGTATAACTACACCCTCAACTACACCCTCACAGTATAACTACACCCTCACAGTATAACTACGCCCTCACAGTATGACTACACCCTCCACTACACCCTCACAGTATAGCTACACCCTCACAGTATGACTACACCCTCAACTCCACCCTCACAGTATAACTACACCCTCACAGTATAACTACACCCTCCACTACACCCTCACAGTATAACTACACCCTCAACAACACCCTCACAGTATGACTACACCCTCACAGTATAACTACACCCTCAAAGTATAACTCCACCCTCCCAGTATAACTACACCCTCAACTACACCCTCACAGTATAACTACACCCTCACAGTATGACTACACCCTCAACTACACCCTCACAGTATGACTACACCCTCACAGTATAACTACACCCTCACAGTATAACTACACCCTCACAGTATAACTACACCCTCACAGTATAACTACACCCTCACAGTATGACAACACCCTCAACTACACCCTCACAGTATGACTACACCCTCACAGTATGACTACACCCTCAACTACACCCTCACAGTATGACTACACCCTCACAGTATGACTACACCCTCAACTACACCCTCACAGTATAACTACACCCTCACAGTATGACTACACCCTCAACTACACCCTCACAGTATAACTACACCCTCACAGTATGACTACACCCTCAACTACACCCTCACAGTATGACTACACCCTCAACTACACCCTCACAGTATAACTACACCCTCAACTACACCTCACAGTATAACTACACCCTCAACTACACCCTCACAGTATGACTACACCCTCACACTATATCTACAGTTCAGTACTCTGAGGAGGCTCACCCTGCAGTTTTCGGTTCAGTTCCTGTTTCTCCTGCTCCAGACGGCGGATCCTCCTCTCAAACGCCTCCACCTCCTGCCCTCCTCCACCTCCTCCTCCCCCCACCTCCTCCTGGCTGAGACCCACCTGGCTCACCGAGCTGCGGTCAGAGAAGCAGCTGTTGGTGGTATAGGTGAAGCCCACGAAGGGGAGGTGCTGACCAGTAAAACCAGTATGAGACACCGGTGGGCTGATGTCCTGTAGAAGAGACACAAGTCAGACTAGACTGAGTCTTTATTCTCAAGTGCTTAAAGACTAGAAGGAGGACCTGAAAGACCGGGGCAATGACGATAGTAAGGAACCATATGAAAGACTAGAGGACGGACCCTTCAATGATTAAGGCAGGACCTGTGAAACTAGAAGGACCTGAAAGACTCGGGGGACGTCCCATCAGACCTGTCTGTTGACTCTAACAGGGTTAGGTTCCTCACCGGGTTCTTGAGAACATCGTCGTCCACGTCGAAGTTTGATGTGTCGGTTGGGGAGGACACGTCAGGGATGTACGGGGCCTCAGCAGAACGGATGTTGTCCCAGTCAATCCCTTTGAAGAACGGGTGACTCTTGAAGTCAGAGATCCCGTTCACACCGAGTCGGCCTTCCCGTGAGCAGAGGAGGAGCTGGATCAGGTCTTTGGCATCCTCGGACACGTCGGTGACATGAGAAGGGAACTGGAAACGATCCTGGAGAAAACCACAGAAGAAGAAAAGAAACAGAAGAAAAGCCTGTTAGGACGTGTTAGACAGGAAGGTACAGACAGACAGGTTGAGAGACAGACAGGGCAGCAGCTGGAGGTCCTGTGGGGATCAGGTCTGATTTAGACAAGGAAGTAGGACGAGAGTCTAGAGACAAACAGGAAACACTGATTCTGTTAAAGGAAGAGTCCACAGAACACAAACCTCTTCACACAGGACTTTAAAAACACGGGCTGAAAACCTTTGTTCTAACCTCGTGGTTCATGATCTTCCCGTACGTCTCCACCAGAGACTCGGCATAGAACGGTGTTTCTCCGTACAGCATCTCGTACATGCAGACCCCTAGAGACCACCAGTCACACTCTGGACCATAGCGGCCCATCCCGTCCTCCATGGCCTGCAGGATTTCTGGGGAGATGTAGTCCGGAGTGCCCACTGCCACCGAGGACTGCACCTGTACCGAGAGTACCAAGACCACAGGACAAATCCTGAGTTTAGGAAGACCCAGACCAACAACCTAAACCTGGATAACTTCAGACTAAACCTGGATATCTTTAAACTAAACCAGGATAACTTTAAACTAAACCTGGATAACTTTTACTAAACCTGGATGACTAAACCAGGATAACTTTTACTGAACCAGGATAACTTTAAACTAAACCAGGATAACTTTAGATTAAACCTGGATAACTTTAAACTAAACAAGGATATCTTTAAAGTACACCAGGATAACTTTAAATTAAACCAGGATAACTTTAAACTAAACAAGGATATCTTTAAACTACACCAGGATAACTTTAAATTAAACCAGGATAACTTTAAACTAAACCAGGATAACTTTAGATTAAACCAGGATAACTTTAAACTAAACCTGGATAACTTTAAACCCCAGATTGATAACTTTCAGTAAACCAGATAACTTAAAAAAAGAAAAAAGAAAAAGAAAAAAGAAAAGCCCCAATTATCCTGGATTTAACCAAATTAACTAGTCTGAACCAGGTTTTCCCAGAAACTCATGACGCTAGCCTTAAACCGGTTTAAGTGCAAGTTACCGTGCCGTCCTCCATCATGCGGAGACAGGACCCAAAGTCGGCCAGGCGGATGTGCCCGTTGACGTCCAGCAGGACGTTGTCTGGTTTGATGTCTCTGTGAAACAAAAAAAACACATTTACATCAATACAACACCTGTGACCCTGATTGGTGACCAGGAACCAGTCCAGGTGAGCTCAGGTACAGCAGTGAGGGCTGCTGAGCCACAGGAGGAAAACATGGACGCCCCACAAACCGCTCAGACTAAAACAGGAAACAGGTCAGACTGATGGAAACGCTGTAAAAGGAGGTCAGAACTGCTGACAGTTACATGAGCTAACACAGGCTACAGCTTCTTCTTCTACAGTCAACTAAAGTTTCTTCTTCTACTGTAATGACCCTTAAAAAGGGAGAAGAAGTGTTTTTCTGCTGCTACCATCATACAGTATAAACAATGTGATTACAGCAGCAGTTTGTTTTCCTCTGAATTATTAGGACTGACTCTAAAGACACAAGTCCCCAAAAGACTACAACACCTTTAAAGAGTCCATAATCTGCCCTTTTTGGGGTTCATATATTTAATCTATGTTCCTACTTTTGTACGTTCACAATAGATAAAGTTTTAAAAAAGTGTCTGTTTTCATGAACTGCTCCTCCTTGCTCCCTCTACGCTCTGAGTCCGTCAGCTACACTCTGTTGAGCCCACATTGTTAGACCCCACGTGGGCCAAGTCTGCTCTGATTGGTCTGCCGATCCGCTCTGTCGTTATTGGTCAGTTGCTCAGCACGCTTCTCGGAAATTTCAACATGAGCTGCTAGGCCACAACGAGCCAATGGGCTTAGATCAGTGATCTCACACTGACAATGACATCGCACTGACACATTTTTATCGAGGGGGGCTAGAACCGAGCGTTACATGCAGCTAATGCTACAGCTAACAGGAGGACGTAGGAGAAGCTGCGTTTCCGCAGACTTTGAATTTTTGCTCATAGATGTGACTAAACATGCACAGGACACTTAGAAAACACACTAAAGAGCAGATAAAACCAGAAAAAGAAGAATATAGGACCTTTAAGTGTAGAGTCGTACTGGGACTCATACTGGGAGGACTGAGGGTATAGAAACACGAATGGAATGCGGCCCAGTGTCCGTTTCTGCACAGGAAGTAAGGTCGAGGCTGAGCTGGCTGGACAGGAAATAACTACAGTTCCCAGAGGACACTGCTGCCAGGAAGAGCCCACTTCCTCTGATTCTCTCTCTCTCTCTCTCTCTCTCTCTCTCTCTGAATATCACGGATTGGTAATGGGGAACGAAGCTATTGCCCTTTCTGTGCAGCCATCTGGTAGTAACAGAGGAGGGACAGGGGCGAGGCGGGACCGTCGAGGCATGATTGGCTGAGTGTATGTGTACATGTACGAGTGTGTATAAGTCCAACTCCCATCGTTTCTCTACACGTCTTGATTTAAGGCAATATGAGTTCATATAACAACAAACACAACCAGTACAGGTAGGGTAACCATGGTAACCAATGTATCCAGTACCCAGTGTGACAAACACAACCAGTACAGGTAGGGTAACCAGTACCTGTGGATGTAGTTCTGGATGTAGTTCTGCTGATGGATGGACGATCCTCAAACTTACTGAGGAGAGTCAGCAGGTCGCCGCCCACGTAGTAATCCATCACCAGGTACTGCGGTGATACACAGTGTTAGCATAGCAACAGTTCTACTAGTAGCAGTGTTAGCGGTAGTGTTAGCAGCAGTGTTAGCATAGCAACAGTTCTACTAGTAGCAGTGTTAGCAGCAATGTTAGCAGCAGTAACAGCAGCAGTAACAGCAGCAGTCGTACTAACCAGGAAGTTTTCATCCTGGAACGCATAGTGCAGAGTTGTGATCCACTGACTGTCTCCTTTCACCAGGACGTCTCGCTCCTCTCTGAAACACGCCGTCTGTACACAGGACACGCTAACATGATCAACACAACACGCTAACATGATCAACACAACACGCTAACATCACACTCTCACATCAGTAACACTTTATAATAACCATCATCTATAAAGGGTTAATAAGGGTAAATAGATAGTTAATTAACCATTAGTTAATAGTTATTTACTGTTAACAAACAATGAAATGATAGTTAATAATGTTTGCTAATGATTTGTAATGCTATAGTTTGTTATGTTAACAGTTTATTGATGCACACATTATAACATTTCATACACTTTATAAAGTAAATAGATAGTTAATTAACCATTAGTTAATAGTTATTTACTGTTAACAAACAATGAAATGATAGTTAATAATGTTGCTAATGATTTGTAATGCTATAGTTTGTTATGTTAACAGTTTATTGATGCACACATTATAACATTTCATACACTTTATAAAGTGTTTGTTAATGATGACCAAATGATTTATAAACCTTTAAGAGATGGTTTATAAAACATCTATAAACATTACAGAGAGACATGGACCAGATATTTATTCATGGTTTGTAAATATTTATAAAGCGTCTATTAACATTATTTGGATGTTATTATAAAGTTGGAACTGAAGATTATAATCCCTTATTAATACTTTGTACTTTGTAGAGCATCTATAAATATGTTTTAGATAGATAATTAATATTTTATCAATGATTAATAATTGGTTTATAAACCATCTACAATCATTATCCACGCCATTTTGTGCGCCCCATTAAATGTTTGATAGATGACCTATAGAAGACTAATTGTTTGCACACCAATAACAGTATTGAAAACACAACATTTTACAAACCTTTAAGTTAATGTTAAGTTAGTGTAGCCCAGGTTTAACTATGACACTTTAATTTTTAAAACATTCCTTTATTTTAAAATAACATATGTAGTGGAGGTGTAACTCGAGATATAAAGTTATTGAAAGATAGTTAGAAATGATTTATGCCTAAAGAAGATTGAAAACAACAAATACTATCATATCTAGCTCTCTGATCAAGTCACTACTAAGGGTTAACTTTCTGTTGTTGTCTTTGAGTGATTTGATGAGTTTGTAAGTGAACCAATCGGTGAACTCTACAAGTCAGTGAGCCGACCAATCGGCTATCAGCTAGCCTTCGCTCAGGCTACGCCTTCTTTTACTCCCGCGTTAGCTCTTTTGCTGCTGTAACGTGAACAGCTGCATTTACTCACTTGATGAGACGAGAAATCATATTTAATTAAATAGAACTCATTCATGTATATTGCCCATACTGAGGAGAGCTGTGCCTGAATCCACCGTCATCGCTGAGCTAAGGCAGTGAATTCAACTTCAGTGGTGAATTGTTAATGTAGCCTGTTTGGCTAGCGCCAAAGTCGTTAGCATTTATGCTAATTGTCGCTAATTGGTGTGGCCATGTTAAAGTGCTAACGATTTCAATGATAATGTGAGATTGTGGTATTAAAATGCTAATATGGTCATCAGCCATAATAAAGTTAGCATGATACTGTCTATTGACTGTGGAAAAGCTAATGATTTTGTCTGTTGGTTATAAAAGGGAAATGTTACTTTTCCATTCTGGAAAAGAAAAACTAAACTGAGATTTTGATTTGCCTTATGGGTTTACAAAAATATTAAGCTCTTTTTATTTTCATAGCAGCCTGTAGTAATTGATTTGATTACAGAATGATAACTGAGAGAAATGATCTGGCCTCATTTCTAGGTCAGGTTTTGGTGACGGGTTTGAAATCATCGGAGAGCCCACTCCATTCCAGAGGAATACGGATTCCAGATTGTCCTCAGATCCAGATATTCACAGATTCCAGTGTTTCCAGATTGCACAGATTCCCAGTCCTGTTGGCTGGATGGTGAGCTGGATCATGACTGTGATTTTGACTTCAGAAGGATTTTGCCTTCCTTGCTCATCATGTGGTATGACAAACACTGACACACATTCATAAGGGCCCCAACGGTTGAAAACTGAACTCAAGGGACAAACAGGGTTTTCCTTTCGTTCGCACTTTATTATTTTAGTTTGTTATTTTTCATATCTGTCATACCTGTTTATCTATGTATGTACGAACCATATTTTGAGTATTTAATATACAGGTTCAAACTTTCATTCTGGTGTGGAAATTCTCTTTATTCTCTTTTCATATTGGTCTACATTCACATTGATGTCAACATATAAGATCAAATTCTAATACTGTCTGGAACATTACTAAACTGTAAGGGCTACAGAAGCAATACACATAGAATTGGGGAAAAAACGGTTGCATTAAAATAAAGTTGTCATTTTTGAGTTGTTGTGTTAACTTTTTTTAAAGTCCCAAGACTGTCTGTTTATAAATGTGTTTTACTTGATGTTTTATAAATCACCTAATATTTCATTAACTATAAATATTACTAGCATTAGTTGCAATGTTATAACAGTCATTCACATTTCGTTTATGAATGGTTTATAAACCATGTATAAAGCAATTGTTAGTTTATAAACATCAATTCCAACTTTATAATAACCATCCAAATAAAGTTAATAGATGCTCTACACATTATAACTATTTACAGATTATAAACATCAGTTCCAACATTATAATCCAGATAATGATTGTAGATGGTTAATAAACCAATTATTAATCATTGCTAAAATATTAATTATCTAAAACATATTTATCGATGCTTTATAAAGTATTAATAAGGGATTATAATCTTCAGTTCCAACTTTATAATAACATCCAAATAATGTTAATAGACGCTTTATAAAATATTTACAAACCATGAATAAATATCTGGTCCATGCGTCTCTGTAATGTTTATAGATGTTTTATAAACCGTCTGTTAAAGGTTTATAAATCATTTGGTCATGATTAACAAACACTTTATAAAGTGTATGAAATGTTATGTGTTCATTAATAAACTGTTAACATAACATAAACTATAGCATTACAAATCATTAGCAAACATTATTAACTATCATTTCATTGTTTGTTAACAGTAAATAACTATTAACTAATGGTTAATTAACTATCTATTTACCCATTATAGATGATGGCTACATGACACACAGACAGAAACTCACCTCAGCTCTCTTTAACATCTCCCACTTATTGAGAATCTTCATCGCATACACTCTCTCTGTGTGCTTCATCTTCACCACGGCAACCTGAGAGAGAGAGGGGCGAGAGACATTAACACTGACTGAGAGAGAGAGGGGCGAGCGACATTAACGCTGTCTGAGAGAGAGGGGCGAGCGACATTAACACTGACTGAGAAAGAGAGGGGCGAGAGACATTAACACTGACTGAGAGAGAGGGGCGAGAGACATTAACACTGCCTGAGAGAGAGAGAGAGGGGTGAGAGAGAGAGAGGGCAAGAGAGAGCGAGAGAGAGAGGGAGAGGGAGAGAGAGAGGGCAAGAGAGAGGGGTGAGAGAGAGGGCAAGAGAGGGCGAGAGAGAGAGGGCAAGAGAGAGGGAGAGAGAGAGAGGGCGAGAGAGACCCTGTTATCAAACACTGCCTCAGGTACTCCTCACCAGGTGTGTGCAGTGCAGGGATGTGATTGGCCGAGAGGAGTGAACCTGAGCAGGTTCCAATAACCTGTCAAACTGTTGTGACACAGAAACACACCTGAAATCTCACACACACAGAGATTGGTCGAGCTGTGTGTGTGTGTTTGTGTCTGTGTTTATTTTGTATCTGTGTGTTTGTGAGGACCAGAGAGCAGACGGTCCTCACAAACACACACGAACCTGTGTGTGTGTTTATATCCTGAGGCTGCAAGCAGGTGTGGCCCCCTGACACACCTTTCCTCTGGTATGTGGACCACACACACACACACACACACACACACACACACACACACACACACACACACACACACACACACACACACACACACACACACACACACACACACACACACACACACACACACACACACACACACACACAACACACACACACACACACACACACACACACACACACACACACACACACACACACACACACACACACACACACACACACACACACACACACACACACACACGACTGATTGGCGACCAGTCGACCAGTCCAGGGTGTGACCCCGCCTCTCGCCCAATGACAGTTGAAATCAGCTCCAACAGTAACGCTGCTTTCACAACCAAGAACCCTGAGCGAATGAATCACAAAGACGCCACGTGGGGCGCCGTGTTCTGAGGCCTTGCACAGAGTGAAAACACGGTCGTCAGCAGAGTCGGTGGTAACTGCGCCGCGGTATATAACAGAGGTGTGGCGCTCAAACTTTCCATTAATCAGGAAAACACTTCAAACCTTTAAAATAAAAGCTCTGTAAATAAAGTCTGTAAATATGACTCTGACATCATTATCATTAATATAACCAGATGGTTACGTCAGTCGGGGCCGTCAGCGTGATGAGTGACAGGAGGCGGGATGAGTGACAGGAGGCAGGATAAGTGACAGGAGATGGGATGAGTGAAAGGAGCGGATGAGTGAAAGGAGGCGGGATGAGTGACAGGAGGCGGATGAGTGACAGGAGGTGGGATGAGTGACAGGAGACGGGATGTGTGACAGGAGACGGGATGAGTGACATGGGGGGGGATGAGTGACAGGAGGCGGGATGAGTGACATGGGGGGGATGAGTGACAGGAGGCGGGATGAGTGACATGGGGGGATGAGTGACAGGAGGCGGGGTGAGTGATGAGTGACAGGAGGCGGGGTGAGTGATGAGTGACAGGAGGCGGGATGAGTGATGAGTGACAGGAGGCGGGATGAGTGATGAGTGACAGGAGGCAGGAGGAGTGACATGGGGGATGAGTGACAGGAGGCGGGATGAGTGATGAGTGACAGGAGGCGGGATGAGTGACAGGAGGCGGGATGAGTGATGAGTGACAGGAGGCGGGAGGAGTGATGAGTGACAGGAGGCGGGAGGAGTGATGGGTGACAGGAGGCGGGATGAGTGACATGGGGGGATGAGTGACAGGAGGCGGATGAGTGACAGGAGGCAGGATGAGTGACAGGAGACGGGATGTGTGACAGGAGGCGGGATGAGTGACATGGGGGGGATCAGTTACAGGAGGCGGGATGAGTGACAGGAGGCGGGATGAGTGACAGGAGGCGGGATGAGTGACAGGAGGCGGGATGAGTGACATGGGGGGGATGAGTGACAGGAGGCGAGATGAGTGACAGGAGGCGGGATGAGTGATGGGAGGCGGGATGAGTGACAGGAGGCGGGATGAGTGACAGGAGCGGGGTGAGTGACAGGAGGCGGGATGAGTGACAGGAGGCAGGGTGAGTGATGAGTGACAGGAGGCGGGATGAGTGACAGGAGGCGGGATGAGTGATGAGTGACAGGAGGCGGGATGAGTGATAGGAGGCAGGAGGAGTGACAGGAGGCGGGATGAGTGATGAGTGACAGGAGGCGGGAGGAGTGATGAGTGACAGGAGGCGGGAGGAGTGATGAGTGACAGGAGGTGGGAGGAGTGATGAGTGACAGGAGGCGGGAGGAGTGATGAGTGACAGGAGGCGGGAGGAGTGACATGGGGGGGTGCTTGTTGTCTGTTTACACTATATGGCATCGTGGAGGAACAGGAAGTCTTACCTCTCCAAAAGCTCCTCGTCCAATCACCTTGAGCATCTCAAAGTCGTCTCTGTGGAGCCTCATGTTCTTCACGGTGCTGGTGAACGGTTTCACTGAGGAGAGAGGACACACGTTAATGTGGAGCAGCGTTCATATGAGTCACTGCTCGCTACACGGTCAACACGCCGTGATGCAGTGAGCCTTATCATACACTTTATAGTCCACACACGGTATCCCACAATGCATTGTGAAAGATGGTGTACAACCGATGGTCACTATCCAAGCAATATATCCCATCATGCATTGTGGTTCAGAGATTTTAGGAGAATGCCGTTTGATTGGACTGCTCTCAGGAGCGTGAACACAGAGGTCATTTTTAAGTCTTTGTTTTATTTCAAAGTAAAAGATGGTCGGCGTCAGTTTGTCCCGATGAAGACGAGACACAAGAGTCTGAGAGCGCCAATAAACCAGTTCCAACATTTATTCATTATCTGGAACTGTGACCATCGTTATTGTTGATCCTCGGGCGGCGACGGGCTGACAGCGATGATGTAACTACTGTTGGCGTGTGGCGAATGAGCGAGTAGCGTCTAACATGTTTTTTCATCGTGCTGAACGAATGCACTTTAAAGTTCACTACAGTGGGAGGAGGGAGGGATCTAGGACACAACCAAGGTGTCATTAAGTTTAACGGCATTTTCACATCAGACTCCTCCCCCTCCGTCAATGAACCGGACTTTTGGGGTCAAACGTTCTCAGATTTGGGCGAGGGTCTCTGCTGTGAAAACAAACCTCAGTTATTACCTTCATATATTATTACAGTGACATCATAATGTCCTACTGAGGATACACAGACACAGACACAGGTGTGTGTACATGTGTGTGTGTACGTGTGTGTGTGTGTGTGTGCATCACACATCACAGGTGTGTGACACACAGAGGATGTTTCAAAGAGCTCAAACTTTATTTAAATGTTCTGTAGACATGTTATTAATAGCTCAGAGGGAGGAAGTGACATCATCACGGCAGCTGACTGATCATCAGGATCAATACATGAACACAGAAATACTCAGAGTGTAAAGTAAACACTAATACTCTGGGGGGGGGGGCACTGGGACCCTGCAGACTGCTCCTCATATTTAATTCATCTGCTACTCTAAACTGGGACACACACACACACACACACACACACACACACACACACACACACACACACACACACACACACACACACACACACACACACACACACACACACACACACACACACACACACACACACACACACACACACACACACACACACACACACACACACTGTGATGTCATGACTGTATAGGAGCAGGTGAAGGTGCAAAACAAAGAGCAGGTAACGTGGAGAAGGAAGGGGGCGTGGCCTGAAGCATCCGTGTTACCATGGTAACTGACTGACAGACACACGTCCTCACTCTGCCCACCCTGAAACCAGACCAGAATAAACCGGGACACGTCTGTAACAGGGTCAGGCTGAACCAGGACAGAGCGGGACTAAGTGGGCCACGGCGTGGAGCTGCGGCGTGGAGCCACGGCGTGGAGCTGCAGCGTGGAGCCACGGCGTGGAGCTGCAGCGTGGAGCCGCAGCGTGGAGCCACGGCGTGGAGCCGCAGCGTCCTCGTTTCACCCTCACACCTTCAAATACCTGGAAAACTTTGGAGAACACCCCGATGCCCCCTTCAGACTCTGATTGACCTCCTCAAGGTCCCCTGACCCTCTAAGGTCCCCTGTGGGCCCCCTGTGTGTCCCCTGGGATCACCTGTGTGTCCCCTGGGATCACCTGGGCCCCCTGTGTGTCCCCTGTGTGTCCCCTGGGATCACCTGTGTGTCCCCTGGGATCACCTGGGCCCCCTGTGTGTCCCCTGTGTGTCCCCTGGGATCACCTGTGTGTCCCCTGGGATCACCTGGGCCCCACAGTGGCTCCTGAAGGGCTCAGGTATCTTCTATGTTGCTTTTATTAGGTTTTCGATACAAAGACTAAGTCCTGGAGGAGGTCCTGGTCCAGGTCAGGTTCTTACCCCAATCCAGGAAGTCATGGACGTGCTTGTCCCTGCGGAGCGGGGTCTGGGACACTTCTGCGCAGAAGCAGAGCAGCAGGTCGAGCAGCGCCTCCACACTCAGGCAGCCCGCCTCCTTCTGCTCCAGCAGCAGCTCCTCCAGTCTCTTCAGGCGGTCCTGAGCCGACATCGTGCCCGGGAACAGCTCCTCCGCCCCGGCTACAGTACGACACAAGCCCCGCCGCACAGTCCGAGAGCTCCCCGCCGCCCAGCCTCCGACTCCTGCCGAGTCCTGCCGAGCCGAGCCGAGCTCAGCCTGCTAGCTGCGGCTAGCTCGTTAGCTCCTGGAGAACATTCCCGACATTTTATAGAGTGCGGTCGTCGGTGTGTCGGTGAGTGTCCGCCGGTTTCCGTCTTTCCGTCAGTCCGTCGTGTCTGGAGCGGTTCAGTACGTGGGCCCTCCCCGGTCCGTGATCCCGGTCAATCTGGACTCTGCTCTCAGATTCGGGATGTCGGTCAGACCGTCGCCTCTCTCAGGCTGTCCGCGGCGGATCCATGTCCTCACGCAGGTCCCTCAGCTCGGTAACATGTCCGGGGGAACCGGGACGGAACCGGGACGGACTCGGGTCGAACAATACCAACCGTTAAGACCGGGAGGGCGCGCCGCGGGCGTCTTCAGACGGTTTCTGGGTGTTAGAGGAGGCTGCCGGTGTGGCTGCTCGCTGGGAATATGGCTGAATCAGGATCGGATCATCGGGAGCAAGCTGCGCAGCCGCAGACACACTTCCGGTGTCCTAGAGTGTCACAATAAAACGTCAAACAGCCACAGTCCGCCCTGTCTAATCCACTAATCCAATTTAATTAAACAATTTATCAAACAATTTTTTACATAAACAATTTATTAAACAATTTATCAAACAATGTTTTAATTAAACAAATTATTAAACAATTTATCAAACAATTTATTAATTAAACAATTTATCAAACAATGTTTTAATTAAACAATTTATTGGGGCGCGCTGGTGGCGCAATGGTTAGGGCGTGGATAAATAAAGGTTAAATTAAAAAAAAACTCTGAGTCACTGAGTAAAGGTGCACATGCATCTGTGAATCTGAAAATGATTATTTTGTTCTAATAATGACACTAAAACAAAAAGATATGAAATAAGTGTCAGAACATTTTTTAAAACATTATAACCCAAGAGAAAGAGAAGTGAAGAGAGGCATGTTCCTGTTTTATTTATAATGATAGACATATATGTTAGATTTATCAGTCTGACAAACGTGTCATTGAAGTTTAAACATGAGTCACTGTGTAAATAATACATTTCATATTTTCATTTATAAATTCATTGTTTATATTTAAATGTTCAATGGAGGGCATACCATAATAAGAAAACGATAACTCTTTAAAATAATAAACACTGAGTTAATCAGATATTTTATAAAACTAACCCTCTGCGTACTCTTATTGTGAAAGAGAATATCCCGTCACCGGAAGTCGGTACCTGCTGCTCTTCGCTAGCTTGACCCACATGTCTGTCGCTCCCTGAGGAACAGGGAGACCCCGCCTTCCTGCACCGGAAACGCTCTGGACGCATGACGTCATGGCGTGATTGACAGGAGCAGGGAGAGACTGGTACCGCCCCCAGGAAGGAGGGCGGGGGCGGGGGGGGGTATCATCTCAGTGACGTCATTAAACACAAAAACAAGTCTTTGTTTATGTTTTGTACCGATGTTTACAAAATACAAATCACAGTAAAACATTCAGTCTGTAAATATCATAAACATTTAATGTTTCTTTGAAGAAATCTAAATTTTCTGAGTTAAAATAAAAACTTTATTGACATTTTACAACTGTTGTCACATGTTTGTAAATATTAACAATTTCAAATTATTGTTCCATTAAATATATTACTGATAAATTTACAATCAAGATATTTATTCACACTTTGATAATTCATCAAATGTTCTACATGTTAATAACAGGAGAGTTTTTATTTGTTTTTCTGTGAGGAAGACGAGCAGATGAAGGCGTGTGCTGCCCTCTGCTGGTCAGAGATGTTTATATTTCTCCAGAAATAATCCATCAGCTGGTAAACAACCTGAACAGAACAGTGGAATCAGACGGAGGGCTACTGTAGAGCACCAAAATACAGAATATGTTTAGTCAGTTGTCAAGTTCAGAGGAACACACCTGAGGAACACACCCGAGGAACACCTGAGGGACACATTACCACCTGAGGAACACATTACCCCCTAGGAAACCCTGAGGAACACACCTGAGGAACACCTGAAGAACACATTACCATCTGAGAAACACACCTGAGGAACACCTGAAGAACACATTACCAACTGAGGAACACACCTGAGGAACACCTGAGGAACACATTACCATCTGAGGAACACACCTGAGGAACACCTGAGTAACACATGACCACCTGAGGAGCACACCTGAGGAACACCTGAAGAACACATTACCATCTGAGAAACACACCTGAAGAACACCTGAAGAACATATTACCAACTGAGGAACACTGCATGCTCGTGGTACCTACGGTCTCTAAATGTACTATGGGAGGTAGAGCCTTCAGTTATCAGGCCTGCTCGTGGTACCTACAGTCTCTAAATGTACTATGGGAGGTAGAGCCTTCAGTTATCAGGCCTGCTCGTGGTACAGTCTCTAAATGTACTATTGGAGGTGAAGCCTTCAGTTATCAGACCTGCTCGTGGTACCTACAGTCTCTAAATGTACTATGGGAGGTAGAGCCTTCAGTTATCAGGCCTGCTCGTGGTACAGTCTCTAAATGTACTATGGGAGGTAGAGCCTTCAGTTATCAGGCCTGCTCGTGGTACCTACAGTCTCTAAATGTACTATGGGAGGTAAAGCCTTCAGTTATCAGGCCTGCTCGTGGTACCTACAGTCTCTAAATGTACTACGGGAGGTAAAGCCTTCAGTTATCAGGCCTGCTCGTGGTACCTACAGTCTCTAAATGTACTACGGGAGGTAGAGCCTTCAGTTATCAGGCCTGCTCGTGGTACCTACAGTCTCTAAATGTACTACGGGAGGTAGAGCCTTCAGTTATCAGACCTGCTCGTGGTACCTACAGTCTCTAAATGTACTACGGGAGGTAGAGCCTTCAGTTATCAGACCTGCTCGTGGTACCTACAGTCTCTAAATGTACTACGGGAGGTAGAGCCTTCAGTTATCAGACCTGCTCGTGGTACCTACAGTCTCTAAATGTACTACGGGAGGTAGAGCCTTCAGTTATCAGACCTGCTTGTGGTACCTACAGTCTCTAAATGTACCATGGGAGGTAGAGCCTTCAGTTATCAGACCTGCTCGTGGTACAGTCCCTAAATGTACTATGGGAGGTAGAGCCTTCAGTTAGCAGGCCTGCTCGTGGTACAGTCTCTAAATGTACTATGGGAGGTAAAGCTTCAGTTATCAGGCCTGCTCGTGGTACTACAGTCTCTAAATGTACTATGGGAGGTAGAGCCTTCAGTTATCAGGTCTGCTCGTGGTACTACAGTCTCTAAATGTACTATGGGAGGTAAAGCCTTCAGTTATCAGGCCTGCTCGTGGTACTACAGTCTCTAAATGTACTATGGGAGGTAGAGCCTTCAGTTATCAGTCTGCTCGTGGTACCTACAGTCTCTAAATGTACTATGGGAGGTAGAGCCTTCAGTTATCAGACCTGCTCGTGGTACCTACAGTCTCTAAATGTACTATGGGAGGTAGAGCCTTCAGTTATCAGGCCTGCTCGTGGTACCTACAGTCTCTAAATGTACTATGGGAGGTAAAGCCTTCAGTTATCAGACCTGCTCGTGGTACAGTCTCTAAATGTACTATTGGAGGTGAAGCCTTCAGTTATCAGACCTGCTCGTGGTACCTACAGTCTCTAAATGTACTATGGGAGGTAGAGCCTTCAGTTATCAGGCCTGCTCGTGGTACCTACAGTCTCTAAATGTACTATGGGAGGTAGAGCTTCAGTTATCAGACCTGCTCGTGTACCTACAGTCTCTAAATGTACTATGGGAGGTAGAGCCTTCAGTTATCAGGCCTGCTCGTGGTACTTACAGTCTCTAAATGTACTATGGGAGGTAGAGCCTTCAGTTATCAGGCCTGCTCGTGGTACAGTCTCTAAATGTACTATGGGAGGTAGAGCCTTCAGTTATCAGACCTGCTCGTGGTACCTACAGTCTCTAAATGTACTATGGAATTAATATGACATCCATTTCATATTAATAAATGTTACTTATTGTAAAACATCAAGGTAGTTCTTGACCTCTCTTGTCTCGTAGGATTAAGGGGATCATTGTTGTGGACCACATGCTGGCAAGTCCCTCCTCCCATCAATCATTAACATGGCCCGCCTCCTGTCCGGGACTCATATTAGGACTTTATTGCCTGTTATGTTTTCCTCCATACACTACATTTTCATGTTCAGAGTGTGGGCACACTGTACATTCCTGCCGATGGTCCAGCTGGTGAATGGGAGGGGGGGTTGGAGATTTCTCAGCTTATTACAGGGCAGATTAGCTGTAAGGAGATTAGCACTGCAGGTTAACAGGCGCCTGAAAACACTTTTTCTCAGCTTCAATATTTGATGCTCCTGAAGCGTGGAAGGACTTGGTTCCTCGAGATGACAGTAGTCGAGGGATGACAGACCTCCGGATGTCTGGGGACTTCAAGGTAACCAGGTAAAACTTTATATTCTAAGGAGGGGGAGGGGAAGTGGATCTAAGATGGCAGCTGCCACGCTGAAGTAATTGTCACTTTCATTTGTTCTGAAGTCACAGTTTATTGTAACTGTTTAATATAAAGCTCTTTAATGACTAATTTGATCAGGTTGGATCCTGTGACCTCTAGGCTCTCTGCAGCTCAGTTTGAAACTGTTTCCTGCTGATCAGTTTGTGTTTCTGTAGTAAACGATTCGACTGCTCAAAGATGTTCTCTGAGACAGACGCTCTTCTCTGAAGAGTGTCAGAGAAAAGTAGAGGAGTGGTAGGTCTTCACGAGAGAACATCTTTGACTGAGCTCAGAAGCAGACTGATTAAACTGAAGCAGCGGTAAACTGGTGAACATGCTTTTATGATTCTATGACTCTTGTGACTCTTGATCAGGTTCAGAACTTTTATTAAACTTTGATCTTCTTTCCGCAGCACTCAGGTCCTGGCCGTGTCTTTGAGTTCAGTGAAGAGAACCTAAAATACCTCAGTAAGCCTCTTATGACGCTGTGCAGAGGGCAGCCAGCAGCCAGCAGCCGTCTCCCTCTCCTTGTTTTCTCCTGCTTTACTCTGACGAGAGGCCCACTCTGAACCCTGACCGGCTCGACCATCATTAAGATAGGACCTTCTGAGCGTGTGCAGTAACAGGGGAGGAGCTGACTGGAGGAAACCACAACCACCCTCTTCATAGACCAGAACTTTAAAGCCCCCTCTGATGATCTGGACATTAAATAGAAGAAACGGAAAGGATGCCCGGGATGTATTTAAGATTTCTATTTGACGGAAACATGCAGTCATAAGAAAATGGAGACTGGAGGGAATTAGATGATCATGATGAAGTGACTTAGGCTCTAATTTAGGGAGGAAATCAGAGATACAGGGATGACTATAGTACAGCAGTGCTGAGAGTAAACAGAGATCTCATTATGTAGAAATAAAGAAGAGCAGAAAAATTGACATGTTTTTGGTACAAGGCAGGTTTCTACATGCAGCACCTGGTGGTCGCTCCCGGCTCTGCACTTGAAGGCCCTCCAGT